TGTCCCTGGGCACCAGAGGGAAGAGGTTCCCACAGGCCCAGCCAGGGACCCGCTCCCAAGGCTGTTGCCATGGCCACCAGGGCTGCGACCAGCTGGGATGCTCGGTTTCCACCTGCTGGGCTTCAGGAATGGGATTCCCCAATTTCCTGCTCCTGCTAAAACTGCGCTGCCCTCTCTGGCCTCCCACCTCCCATGGAAAGCACAAAAGGCAAAGATCCTGGGCTGGGATAAGAACAATTTATTGGGAACAGCAACAAGATAAGGAACAAACGGAACATAAGGGAAAAATAAAACTTGGACAGGGAAAACTACAACACAACTTCCTGGCTCTTCCCAACAACATATATCGCCCACCAGGAAAGGACACCCTTCTCCTCAGAGAGAGAGTCCCTTTCCTGCCCCTGGCAATGACCTGAGGTGGGAGTGAATGTAATGACATATCCATGGTCAGACCCTCATGTTCTTGAGGGTGTCATTGACAGGGGAAGGAATAGGGACAGGGGTCTTCCCAGCATGGATCACAGGGAACATGGATCACCCGGGCTCTTCCCAACATGGTTTTCTCATGGGGAACGAAGCTGGAGCAGTGCACGAAGCTCCTCCTGCAGCTGGGGTATTTGCAGCTTCCCTTACCGTTGCCTCCATTGGTGTCTGGCCAAGTCAGAACTGTTGGTGAACCTCTTCCCACATGTGGTGTACTGTTAGGGCCTCTCCTCCATGTGGATGTGTAGGTGGGTGACAAGCTGGGAGTTTTTCTTGAAGCCCTTCCCGCACTCAGGGCAGCGGAAGGGCCTCTCCTCTGTGTGAATCCACTCATGCAGGAGGAGGTTGGAGCTGCTCTGAAACCTCTTCCCACAGGTGGGGCACTCATAGAGCCTCTCCCCAGTGTGGAAGCACTGGTGCCTGATGAGGTTGGAGTTTTGCTTGAAGCCCTTCCCACACTCAGGGCAGCAAAAGGGCTTCTCCTCTGTGTGAATCTGCGAGTGCTGGAGGAGATTGGAGCTGGTCTGAAACTTCTTCTGACACTGGGGACACTCATAGGGCCTCTCCCCAGTGTGGATGTGCCGATGGGTGATGAGGTAGGAGCTGCACTTGAAGCCCTTCCCGCACTCAGGGCAGAGGAAGGGCTTCTCCCCAGTGTGGATGCGTTGGTGGTTGACAAGAGCAGAGCTGCAGCTGAAGCCCTTCCCACTCTCCCCACACTTGTAGGGTCATTCCCCGGTGTGGATCCTCTGGTGGCTGATCAGGCAGTGGCTCTTCCTGAAGCTCTTCCCACAGTCTGAGCACTTGCAGGGTTTCTCCCCATTGTGAAGCTACTCCGGGGCCACCAGCTCTGAGCTCTGGAAGGAGCTCTGCCCACCTTCCTGGCACAGGATGAGCCTTTTCTCCTTAGAGCATCCTGGGCTGGG